GGTACTGGCACAAAAACAGACACACAGATCAATGGAACAGAATTGAAAGCCCAGCAATAAACCCACACATTTATGGACAGCTAATATTTGACAAGGGAGCCAAGAGCATACAATGCAGAAAGGAGAGTCTCTTCAATAAATGGTGTTGGGAAAACTGGACAGTCACACACAAAAGAATGAAAGTAGACCATTCGCTTACACCATGCACAAAAATCAGCTAAAAATGGATTAAAGACTTGAATTTAAGACCCGAAACCATGAAACCTCTGGAAGAAAACATAGGCAGTATGCTCTTTGACATCAGTCTTAGCAGCATATTCCCAAGTCCCATGTATAACTGGGCAAGGGAAACAAAAGAAAAAATGAACAAATGGGACTACATCAAGCGAAAAACCTTCTGCACAGCAAAGGAAACCATCAACAAAATGAAAAGACAACCTAACAATTGGGAGAAGGTATTTGCAAGCCGTATATCAGATAAGGGGTTAATATCCAAAATATACAAAGAACTCATTTAGCTCAATAACAAAATAAAAAACAGCAACTCAATTAAAAAATGGGCAAAAAGATCTGAACAGAGATTTCTGCAAAGAAGACATATGGATGGCCAACAGGCATATGAAAAGATGCTCAACATCATTAGCTATCAGGGAAATGCAAAACAAAACTACAATGAGGTGTCACCTCACTCTGGTCAGATTGGCTATAATCAACAAGACATGAAATAACCAGCATTGGAGAGGATGTGGAGAGAAGAGAACTCCCGTAAACTACTGGTGGGTGTTTAAACTGGTGCAGCCACTATGGAAAGCAGTATGGAGTATCCTCAGACAATTAAGTATAGCTCTACCATATGATCCAGCTATCCTACTTCTGGATATTTACCCATAGAACTTGAAAACGCAAAGGCGTAAAGATACATGCACCCTATGTTCATTGCAGCACTGTACACAATAGCCAAGACTTGGAAGCAACATAGATGCCCATCAAGGGACGAATGGATAAAGAAGATGTGGCACTTACACACAATGGAATACTACTCAGCCATAAGCAATGATGAAATCCGGCCATTGGTGACAACATGGATGGACCTTGAGGGTATTATGCTGAGTGAAATAAGTCAGAGGGAGAAAGTCAAATAACGTATGGTCTCACTCATAAGTAGAAGATAAAAACAACAACAAACAAACACATAGCCATGGAGAATGGATAGGGGAAGGAGGGGGAGGACAAAAGGGGTGATTAGGCTCACATGTGAGGGGATGGACTATAAGTAGTTTTTGGGTGGGGAACATGATGTAATCTACACAGAATTTGAAATATATTATGATGTACATCTGAAAGCTATATTATGTTATAATCCAATGTTACTGCAATTAACAAAAACATTTAAAAAATAAATGTTATTGTCATTAAAAAATATGAAGCTTAGAATTCATTAGCAAAAGGTGTGTGTACATGTGTGCAAGATATGTGAAATGGAGGTAAACAGGAACAGGTGGAGAGAGGTGAATGGTGTATTTTTGGCATAACAAGGTCAGGGATTAGACATTATGAATTTCTTTCTTATTTAGTCTTGGTCTTCAAGGATTTCCAGGGCCCAGATGTCAGAATGACACTAAAAATATTTGTCTAATGAGGCATTTTGGTTATTGATCCTCCAGGGATATAAAGACTGTAAAGAGTCAGCCTGTGACAACCTTATTGAACAACCCTTGCCTGTTCAGGAAGGAGTACACCTGAGACTCCATCCAGGGATGATCTTTCTTGGCCAGGATCCCATTGCCTCACTTGGTTTTTCTGCCCTTCCTGAAGACACATCTTCTGTCTTCAATATCCAGGTGATATATTGAGCATCATTTCATAGTGATGCTAGCCACTTAAGGACTTAAGTAAAGTTCTTAGTTAATGCTTTGGTCATGAGGACAAGTGTTTTACTATGAATTCATCTGTGTAAAGAAATGAGCAGGGTACATGCATGGAAAGATCAGAACCAACTGTCCTGTGGGACTGCAGCCAAATTGTCTTCTTGTTGATAAATTCTCATGTACATATGTGCCAGTACTCAGACAGTTCTCAGTCTGCTGTTCTAATTTATCTAAAAAATGGCAGCATCTGTTTTCCTCTGAGGAAGTCTGCCCCTTCTCAAACATAATGATTTTTATAAGTCATTCAGACATTTACTCGAATTCAGTGAGGTCATGGGAGGGAGTTTGGTCATATTCACCTGTCATTTCTATTCTTGGTTCTTGATACACCGTCATATAGAAGAGTGTTTGTATCATCTCTGCAGCTGGGTTGCGAGGACACTGGGGAGAAAGTGGAGACAAAGAGAGACTAGCCGGCTGCCTTCCTAGTGCACTTGTTTCTCCTTATGAAGTTACCAGGTATTCTATATAAGAAAAGCAGAGTTAGTATAATGAAAAACACATATGACCATCCTTCAACTCCTTCTGGAATTAACAAATGTTGACGTTCTGCTATAACAGCTTCAGGTCTTTATATAAAGTAGCAAAACAATATGCATATAGAAGACATCCGTTTTGTGTCCCCCTCAGTTCTTGTTCTGCACATCCCAGAGACAGCGTCATCTAGAATGTTATAGTATCCCCCATGCATGGCTTTATATTGTATGTGTATTAATAAACATCTGTAGGATGAAAGGCATGAACCATAATATCTATCAGTTTGAGAATGGAGAAATACAACATGATGTAATAGTAATGTGGAATACTCTGTGCTGATAAAAATTAAGCAGGATGAAATACATGAACATTAATAAAAAATAAATTACATAAGGAGGAAAATTGTAAATGATATGTACTGTATGTTTTGATTTATATAAAGCCTTAAAATGCAAAACAATGCAATTATTTGTGGAACAATAAAATTAATTATAGTGAAATTTTCAGGAGAATAATGTATATGAATTTCACGTAGTGCTTCCCTCAGGGAAGGGAAAGAATAAAGACTGTTCAAACACATGATGTAGGCACTTAACACATAGTTGTATTACATATTGCAATAAAAACACCTACAGAGAGCATAGTTAAATCTATTAGTTAGATAAATTTGACTGATGGATACCAAGCTCTTTGTTCTTACTCTGTACTTTTGTTTCAGTTGAATAATCCATAATTAAAATAACTGTATCTATGTAAGACCAAAATATATTTAAAATTTTCTCATGCTGTAGACTTGTTATACAAAATTTCTTCTCTTGTAGGGTTTCATCATTTGTGTGGATTCATATATCTGATTATTTTTATTATTTCATTCACCTTAATTGCTATACGTTTCAGCGTATATTCATGGCAAATGAATATTGATATCATTCATATTGCCTTCATTCCTTTTCCACATGATAAAGGATCCCAGCTGGAGTTTCAACTCAGAAACTCATACCTGAAATTTGCAGTTATCGTCCAAGAATGCTCTCTTTGTATTTTCTTTCCTCAACTTGCCACATCCCATTGCTTTATTCTGAAGAGGGAAATGAGTGAGGAGCTGTTGCTCATGGCAGAAAAAACACAATAGGAAATGTCAATATGAGGGTCTCTAATGCTGACTACTGTGCTGGATGCTTTTCCTCCATTTATTTCTCATCATTGCAACATCCCCATAAATTTGTATGACGATTCTCATTGTACACATTAGGACATCAGGCTTTTTAAAGTTATGAACAAAAATTGTTCAAAAACTATTGAACAATTTTTCTCATTCGCAAAGCAAGTGCTTGTCTGGATTAAATTCAGAGTGTTTGAATATAAGTAATACATCAAATGATAAAGACTGTCATGGCCACTTCTTTTTTCCCCTTTAGAGGGAGGACCCCTGCTTTACAGAGGCAATCCTATTAGGATGCTTGATTATCTTATAAGTATCATAGAAGTCTCCCTTATCTGTAAGTCTCTGTCTTCCAAGGACCGAACATTGAAGCTATTTTCATCTGTTTTCTTAGGAGCTTATTAATTTCATTCTTTCTCTCATCTAGTCATTTTTTAAAATTATATGCCACCTATAACCTTAGGTGAAGAAATCCCCTTCAGATGAAACAGAGAATCTCATTGACATCGTTTTCCAGCTTATCTTGGAATCCATTGGTTATGCAGTTGAGTAGCTTTTCCACGGCAGAGTCTTATGAGCTTCAAGTTTATAGGACACATTTTCTAGTCTTTTCTCAGGTGTGGAGCAAAGACTTTGGTGGAAGCCATACACCTGCCACATAATACATCAGGGGTAGAAGTAAACATACTTTGTAGGGAAGTGAAGAGATTTGGGGCATTTCAGGATGAAATATAACTATTTTGCAGGGGAGGTATGAAATCTGAGCGGGGGTTTCAAATGCTAATTCTGTACTGCACAGAGGCATCAATAGAGTTTAGTCAAGTTAGTCAATTCAGCAGTCAGATGATCTGATCTCAGACATAGTCGTTGCCATGAACTACCCATAGACATCCTGTCCATTATGTAACCTCACCTTACCTAAGTTATGGGCATAGAGTGATTGCATGATCTAACTTGTCTGTAATTTAACAAGCCCTTCAGATGATTCTGAGGCATGCTTAGATGTTTTGGGGAACATATTCTACAAGAGACATTAGGTAACTTCATTCTCATCCTTCCATTTCTTTGAGGCAAGAACATTTCTGAAGGAAACACCATGTCTTATTCTTTGTTTCAGTCTCAGAGTGAGAGATGATGATGATGGAGGGATAAATTAGCAGTGTGGGAGATTTGAATATTCTCTTGGGTTCACATTATACAGAATTTTTTTATTTTAAGCACTGGTTCTCAAACTTTAGCATATGTCAAATTCACATCAAGAGCTTGATAAAACTGAGATTTTTGGTCCTCATCCGACTTCTTCAGCAGTAACTCTGGAGTAGTACCATCATTATTGATTTCTAACAAGTTCCCAGTTGATGCTTCTGCAGATTATCTAAGGATTTTTAATTTTATTTTCTTGTCACCCCATCTTTTCCACCTGATTCATCAGCAACATGCAACCTAGAAATCACACAGATGTTTCAGAATTCCTTCTCCTGGTATTGACAGATGATCCGGAACTGCAGCCTCTCTTCGTCTTTCTATTCCTATGCATGTACCTGGTCACCATCGTGGGAAACCTACTCATCATCCTGACTGTCATCTCTGACTCTCACCTGCACACCCCTATGTACTTCTTTCTCTTCAATATGTCCTTTACTGACATCTATTTAAGTACAACCACGATACCCAAAATGCTGATCAACATACAAGCAGAGAGTCAGAGCATCACTTATACAGGGTGCATTACACAAATTTACTTTGTCCTGTTTTTTGCTAGTTTGGAAAATTTTCTTCTTGCAATTATGGCCTACGACCGCTATGTGGCCATTTGCCACCCACTGAGGTACACAGTCATCATGAACACCAACTTCTGTGGACTGCTGATTCTAGTCTCCCTTTTCATTAGTATTGTGGATACACTCCTCCACAGTCTGATGGTGTTACAGCTGACATTCTGCGCAGACCTGGAAATCCCCCTCTTCTTCTGTGAAGTTGTTCAGCTCATCAAGCTTGCGTGTTCTGATACCCTCATCAACAACATCCTGATATATATTGCAGCTAGCATATTTGGTGGTATTCCTGTGTGTGGAATCATTTTCTCTTATATTCGAATAGTCTCCTCTGTTTTAAGAATGCCATCAGTGGGTGGAAAGTATAAAGCATTTTCCGTCTGTGGTTCACATCTCTCAGTTGTATTCCTATTCTATGGGACAGGTTTGGGAGTGTATATTAGTTCTGCTCTAATTAATTCTTCCAGGAACACTGCAGTGGCTTCAGTGATCTACACTGTTGTCCCTCAAATGCTGAATCCCTTCATATATAGCCTGAGGAACAGGGATATGAAAGTAGCTTTGAGAAAACTCATTGATAAGATACTAATGGTTTTTCAGGAGTGTATTCTCTAATTTCCACATTTTTGAATCTTTTCCATTTGTCCTTCTCTTATTGATTCCTACCATTGCAATATTGTAGTCAAGAAAGACACTTTGTATGATTTCAACTTTTAAAAAATTTTTTGAAACTTATTTTCTGGCCTAACATATGATCTATCCTGGAGAATGTTCCATGTGCAATGGAGAAGCATCTTCTGCTGTTGATAAATGGAGTGTTTATATATGTCTGTTAGGTTTTGTTTGTTTATACCATTTTTCAATTTCTATGACTGTTTTTGATCAATCCAGAGGTACTGTCTACTATTGAGGGTTTTATGCTGAAGTCTCTAAGTAGTACTGTTGAAATATGTATTTCACACTTCCTTTCTGTCATGTTTGCTTCATGCAGTTTTAGGTTCTGTTGTTTAAGTATATATGTTGATAATCATTATATCATCTTGATTATCAGCCCTTTTCTGTCTACTTCTATCTATTGTCTATCCATCCATCTATCTATCTATCTATCTATCTATCTATCTATCTATCTTTCTTTCTACCTATCCTTTCTGCCTACTTAAGTTTTGACTTAATCAATTTTTTCTGACAATTGGTTCTTTTTTGGTAACTATTTGACTGGAATATATTTTCTTTCATTTCATTTATAATCCATTTGTGTCTATGGACCTATAATGAGTGTCTTGTAAACATTCTATATTCACATAATGTTTCTTTTATTTTTCTTCCAATCTCTGCCTTTTGACTGGAGAGTTTTATCCTCTTACCTTTAAAGTATTTACTCATAAGGAGATATTTAATTGTTCCATTCAAAACTTTATTTTCTGTATGTCTAATACCTTCTTTTTGTTGTACTTCATTTCCTCAATTACTGCCTTATATTTTTTGGTTGATTTTTTGTTTTCAATATTTTGCAATTTTCTCTTAATGTCTTTTTAGAATATGTTAAGATAATTTTCTTTCTGGTTACCATGGACATTAAATTTAACAATTTACTTTGAATTCATACCACTTTTACTTCAACAGCATGCAAAATTTCTGTTCTTATACAGCTCTGTCCTTTCTTCTTCTTGTTGTTACTGTCACAAATTAAATGTTTATACACTGTACCCAGTGACAAAGATTTTAAAATTTTTACAATTACTTTTTTAAATCTAGTAGGAAATAGAAAAGTGGAGCTATAAACCAAAAATTAAATACAGGCTCTTTTATTTTCCTACACATTTACCTTTACCAGAAATCTTTATTTTTTCACGAAGCATTGAATTACTGTCTAGTGTCTTTTCACTTCAACCTGAAGGAATCCATTAGGTATTTTCATAGAGCAGGCTTTGAGGTAATGAACTCCTTCATCTTTGTTTATCTGGGCATGTTTTATTTCTCCCTAATTTTTGGAAGGGGTTTTTTGTCACATGTAAAATTCTTAGGTGAAAATTTTTTCTTTCAGAGCTTCAAATATCTCATGCCACTATCCTATGGTCTTCATGGTTTGATGAGAAATTGGTTGTTAATCTTATTAAAAATCTCTTGTATATGATGAGCTGATTCTAAATTTCTAGTACATGATGAGTTCCTTTCAAGGTTTTCTTTTTCCCTTTGGCTTTGTCAGTTTAATAATATGTTTCAGCATTAATATCTTTCAGTTATCCTCCTTGGAGTTCATTGAGCTTCCTAATTTTGTAGGTTCATGTCTTTCATCATATTTAGGAAGTTTTTGACCAGTATTAGTTCAAACACTCCTTCCATCTCTTTCCATTTTTCTTCTCCTTCTGGAACTCCAATAATGCCTTTTTTTCCATGTGGTGGAGTCCCATAGGTTCCTTAGAGCAAACTTACTTTTCTTCATTCTTTTTTTTTCTACTCCTTAGACTCAACACTATAATGTGTTAGCTTTGTACATATGAATTTTCCCCACAGGTTTCTTTTAAAAAGTAGTTGAACATGTTAGTAGTCTATTCATTTAGTGACTTTCCAAAAATATATTCTCAGAGACTGTAATCCTTGTTGTATGTGGTCACTGAAATTATGTTCTTTGGCTTTGTTCAGCTAATTCTTTGATAAATTTCCTTGAGCGGCATAAGTGATACAAACAATAAAAGAAAAAACATACATCTCTCAGTCTTTACAGATTGGATCTTTGGTACAGTACTCTTTCAACACTTACCCAGGTTTGCACTTAACTTAGAAATCAGTATGAAAGTTTAGAATCTTCTCTGGTATTTCCTTAGTATATGTCTTGCTATGGGCATGCATGTGGCTTTCTAAATTCTCCCATATATTTGGCTGGTTTTAAATGTCCTAATTCCCTGAAGAAAATTTCCACTGTTTTTGCTCTAGGTCTAAGCTGGTCTATTTTATGTTTTTACTTTAATCTTTTACCATAGACATATATCAGCTGTTAGTTTGGTTTGTGTTCTTTTCAAAAAATGCCCACTGCTTTTCCAGCTTGAGTTCTCAGGCAAAAGAGAGATGAGTGCTTTGTGCCAATTCCTCAGGTAGCTTCCAGACAGGTTAGAACAGAAATACAGAATGATTTGAGAAGGAAGTTCTACTCTGAGTTCTCTGAATCAATGGACATCTCATACTGAGAACACAGGATGTGACCATATTAAGACTAAGACTACTGCCATGCTAGAGAAGGAGTGGGGTAACGGCAAGTAGAATGCCACAAAACTTTTCTACCAGTTTGAAGTTGCTATTTTCTTGATTGGCACTGACTTGATTGCTGTATTTTGACTCTTTTCAGGAGTTCTGACAAAGTTAGTTCTGACAGTTACTGCTTGTTTTTCAATGTTTCTTGAGAGGAGAAGACTTTAAGCTGCCCCATGTGCTATTTTGTCACTTCGCTGGCAAAACGCCACAGACTTTTTTTAGGCACAGTCTTTTTATTTAGTATAGGGAATATATTAGACCCTGCTGAATATAATTTGTAGAATGAGAATTCAATGAACCATTAATAGAGTTAGTCTTTGGAATATTCTTTATAGGGTATATTTGCTGTATTATCTCTTGCATTTTATAAGATGTATAGCCATATTAAACTATATTTTTGAAGATAAGTATCTTCAGTCTTCCTCATACTGTTGTTATAAAGGGTACCTTTGAATGTACCTTAGGAAAAAAGACTAGAATCCAATTACAGAAGGAAATTTTGTCCATGTGTTAAAGGTACTTGAAATAGATGTGAATAGAAATAGCTGAATGGAAGAGAATTGCATACTTTGGCCCCAGGGTGAGGGAACTTTTTAGTTCTTTTTCTGTGCTTTAAAGGGTTTTCACTGCCCTGGGATCAGAATTATAGCAAAAGAGTTTGACTAATGAAGATCTTTGGATATTGAAGCCCCAAGGGCCACAGAGACTGCAAAGTATCCACCTCTGGCCACCCGACTCAATAGCCCTGCTTAGGTCACTAGTCAGTGCATTTGAGCCTCTTCCCAGGGACCATCACTTTTGTACAACAGCCCAGCCTTCACTCTATGTTTCCATTTTCCATGAGAACAGGGCTCATTTCTCTCCTTCAATATCAAACGGAGAACCAGATGTCTTTCTTTACGTTTGGGTCAAAGATCATCTGAAGTTCCCTAGTCTGTTTTTCAAATAGAGACAGGTGTTTGTATACCATTCCATCTTGGGATGAGTGGGAACATGCTGAAGATAACTCGATCTTATTCATCGATGAAGATTTTGCCTAACTATCTATCATCTGACGTGTTTTCTTGTACCTTTGCAACAATAATCAATCAGATAATCTTCTACTGTGACAGTAAAATTCTAGGATCTTTTTCCTTTCTCAGGAGAAATCTGCCCTTGCACAATTTTGTGGAGTTTTCTAGAATTCTCTAAAGTATTCCTTAATTTCCGGGCAGGGAATGAAGGTGGATGTTCATCTCATGTTTATTGTTCTGTGTATGATTCTTCACAGTCGTTCGTAGTGATGATGATTGGTTGACCCTGTTGCCTTTCTAGGAGGCAGAGGAAATGGATAAAAAGAAGCCCATAGGCTATATCCATTGTATAAATATATCTTTAGTAACCAATGAAATCTTTTAAAAGACAGAATAACACAGAATATCAGGACAAGTACTCATGTATCTGTTTCCAGAGTTAATAAATTTTGACATTTGCTGTTATATTTCTCCTCTTTAAGTAATAAAATATTTTGTATAGAGACAACATTCTTTTTTATTTTCCTCTATTCTTGTCCTTCCATTCCAAGATGAGATGACAGTCTTGAATTTTTTGAGTTCCTTGGCATTGTTTTAAACTACTCTTACACACACATACCTTTGTGTTCGTGCATGTGCGCGCATGTGCATATGTCTCACAATGAAAATGCTCATTCCAGGGCCAGCCTGGTGGTGTAGTGGTTAAGTTTACACACTCTGCTTCCGTGGCCAGGGATTTGCAGTTTCTGATCCCAAGTATGGATCTACTTAGTGCTTATCAAGCCAAGCTGTGGCAGGAGTTCCACATATAAAGTAGAGATAGATGGGTATGGATTTCAACTCAGGGCCAATCTTCCTTAGCAAAAAGAGGAGGACTGGTGGCAGATGTTAGCTCAGGGCTGATCTTCCTCAAAAAAAGAAAAGAAAATGCCTATTCCTTCAAGAAAAAATGAATTGTGATGTTGTAATACAGGGGAATATAGCAAAAGAGTAGAGGCTAATGAACCAGAATGAAATGTACCAGTGCTTCCTCCTTCCCTCTGCTTCTATACATGAGCAAGATTTACAGTGGGAGTGTCAGTACATGAATCCTTTCTGAAACTTGCAGTTACCATACCAAGATCATTCTTTTTTTCTCTCTTCTTTCATCTTATCTCACCACTCACTTTCCTTCCTATAATGAACCTGTCACTTTGTCAAATCATGGTTATGCCAAAAACAAATCACTATAGGTGATATTGAGAAGGGCCCATATGTCAAGCACTATGCTTTGTGTTTTTGTCCATGTATTTCTCATCCCTGATGTATCCCCTATAAGTTTTCATGATGGTTCCCTTCACACGTGTGGAAACA